TAGATTATCTTTTTGTTGTTAAATTGTAACAACAGATATACTTTATATGTTTTGGATGTTAGACCTTTATCAAATATGTAACTTACAAAATATTTTCTCCTATCTATGGGTTCTTCTACTTTCTTTATGGTGTCCTTTGATGCATGGAAGTTTTAAATTTTAATGAATTCCATTCGTTTATTGTTCATGCTTTTGATATCATACCTAAAAGACCAGTAGTGAATTGAAGGTATATAGATTCATCCCTATGTTTTATTCTAATGGTTTTATGATTTATGGTTTTTAATTAATTTTGAGGTCTTCAGTTCATTTTTGAGGTAATTTTATTATACAGTGTTAGGGAGAGGTTCCACCTCATTCTTTTTGTTGTGTCAGCACAAAGTGTCAAAATGACTGTTATTTCTTCATTAAGTAGTTTTGGCATGTTCAAATCCAGTTGATCATAGCTCTGTGGGTTTATCTCTGGAGTCTTGGTTCTATTTCATTGATTTGTATGGCTTTCCTTATTTCCAGTACCATCTTGTTTTGATTATTTTTGCTTTGTAGGAAGTTTTGAAATCAGGGCATGTGAGTCGTCTTTGTTCTTCTTTTCAGTATTATTTTAGCTGTTTGTCAGCCCCTTCCAAGTCCATATGAATTTGGGAATTGGCATTTCTGTTCGCATAGGAAAGGATATTAGAAGCTTAGGTAGTAGACATGGCATTGAACTTATAGATGCTTTGGGTATTGTTGGCATCTTCACAGTATTAACTCTTTAAGTCCATGCACATGGAATTCCATTCCATTTATTTTACACGTATGTACTTTAATTGTTCTCGTTAGAACTTACCATATAATGTTGAATAGAAGTAGTTAAGAGTAGGCCCCTAGTTAAGAGTAGGCCCCTTGTCTTGTTCTTGATCTTAGAGAGAAGAATTTTGGTCTTTTACTATTGACTAGGATGTTAACTTTTTTGTTTTGTAGATGTCCTTTATCATGTGTAAGAAATTTTCCTATTATTGGTTTGCTTTATTTATTTGTTAATTTTTATCATGAAAAGGTGTTAGATTTGACAAATGCTTTTTCTGCATTACTTGAGATGATCATATGTTTTGTGGTTTATTACATTGAATGATTTTTACATATTAACCATCATTGCATACTGTACATAAATTATACCTATTCCTGACATGTAATATTTAAAGAAAAAAATTTTTTTTTTTTTTTTTTTTTTGGTTTTTCTCCGGTACCGGGAACCGAACTCACGACCTTGCGCTTGCCAGGCAGGCGCTTTTGCCGCTGAGCTAAATTCCCAGCCCCAAGAAAATTTTTAAATTGTGGTAAATTATACATAACATAAAATTTATTTATTTATTTATTTTTGTCTTTTTGTCTTTTTTGAGATAGGGTCTCGCTAGGCAGACCACTTTGTAGCCCAGGCTGGCCTCAAACTCGCAACAATCTTCCTGCCCCAACCTCCCAAGTGCTGGGATTACAGGCATGTGCCACCACACCCAGCCCTACATAATATAAAATTTATCCTGTTAACCAGGCATGGTAGTACCTAGCTTTAATCCAAGCTTTCTGGGAGGCTGAGGCAGGAAGGTTGCAAGTTTGACCCCAGTCTGGGAAACTTGGCAAGAACCTGTCTCAAAAAGATTGAAAAGAGCTGAGAATGTAGTTCATTAGAAGGCTCTGAGTTCAATCCCCAGTACTACAAAAACAAAAACAAAGCAAAATAGCAACAACAACAACAACAACCGTCTTAACCATTTTATGTATACAGTTTAATGGAGTTAAGTACGTTCACATTGTTGTGCGACTGTCACCACTATTTCATCGTGCAGAACTTTTTCATCTTATAAGACTGAAATTCTCTACCATTTAAAAACAATAATTCCTCCTGCTTCTCTCCTCCTGGTCCCTGGCTTCAGAAGAATTTTCTACTCTCCCCTTTCTATAGCTATAAACTTGTCGATCCTGGGTAGCTTACATAAATGGAATTATACAGTGTTTGTCCTTTAACTGGCTTATTTCGCTTAACATAATATTCTTAGTGTTCATCTACCTAGTAGCATGTGCTATTATTTAGCCTTTCAAAGGCCAAATTGCATAAATATACCATGTTTTGTTTATTCATTTTTCTTTGGACACTTGATTTGCTTCTATCTCTTAGCTATTGTGAATAATGCTGCTATTACCATGAGTATACAAATCCTTGCTTTTGATTCTTTTGGAGTGAATACTTGGAAGTAGTTACCAAAAATAGGCACCAGCTCTAGTCACCAGGTCACATGGCATAATCCTTTTAATATTGTTGGATTAGCTTTGCCAGTATTTTGTGGAAGAATTTAGAATCTGTACTCATAAAGTATATTGGTCTATAGTTTTCTTCTGATGTTTTTGTCTGACTTGGATATCAAGGTAGTATTGGTCTCATAGAATGAGTTAGGAAGTACTTCCTCTCTATCTCTTTCCTCTTCCCTTCCTTTCTTAAGATTTTAAGACTGGTATTGTTTTTCTTTAAATGATTGGTAGAATTCATCAGTTGAATCTGATCTGGTTCCGTTTCTTTTGTTTATTCTTACTTTTTATTTTTGCTGGTAGTCTTCAAATTACTGACTTGCCCTCTTTATCTGTTACAGGTCTGTTCAGATTTTCTACTTCTTTTTGAGTCATTTTTGGTAGTTTCTATATTTCCTAGGAATTTCTATGTCATTGTAAGTTATTTGATTTATTGCTCATACTTTTTAAAAATAATCCTCTTCATTTCTGTCGGATTGATAATGTTTCCCCTTTCACTGCATTTTAGTGATTTGAGTCTTCCCTTTTCCCTTGGTTGTTCTAGTTTAAAATTTGTCAGTGTTGTCAATCTTATCAAAGTCAGTTCCACTGACTTTCCATATTGTTTTCATATTATTTTATGGAACTCTGCTCTAATCATTACTTTTTCCATCTTCCTGCTTTGGATTTTTCCAGTTTCCTCATCTTTTTTAGTTCTGGCAAAAGTTTAGGTTATTAGCCAGGTGTAGGGGTGCACCCTTCTAATCTCAGCACTTGGGAGGCTGAGGATTGCTGTGAGTTTGAGGCCAGCCTGGTCTACATAGTGAGTTGAAAGCCAGCCTTAACTACATAGTGAGATGCTGTCTCAAAAAGACAAAAAAAAAAAGTTCAGGTTATTGATTTGAGCTCTTCCTTCTTTTTAAATGTAGGTGTTTAAAGGTTTTTGTTTCCCTCTGAGCACTTTCTAACTGTATCCTTGGAGTTTTGTTAGTATTTTATTTTTGTTTTTATTCATTTCAAAGCATTTTATAATTTGTCTTGTGATTTAGTCTCTGACCTGATTAAGGATGTGCTATTTACTTTGCACATTTGTGAATTTTCCAATTTTTTTTCTGTTGTTGATCTGTAGTTTTATTCCACTGTAATCAGAGAAGATAATTGATATGATTTCATTTTTTAAAAGATACTGAGACTTATTTTGGTAGAACATATGATCTGGTAGAGCACATATGCTTAGAGGATGATACCAGGTACACTTGAGAATGTATTTATTGCTCTTGGAGGGTGGAAGGTTTCTGTATATGTCTGTTAGGAGTGGTTGGCTTGTAGTGTTCATATCTTTCACTGTTTTCACTTTGTCCACTTGCTATCCATTACTGAAAGTGGGGTATTGATGTCTCCAGCTACTTCCCCCCTTATTTTTGTCAGTTTTTCCTTCCTGTATTTGGTTATACATTGTGAGGTGCATGTGTTTGTAATTATATATTCCTGATCCTTTTTTGGTATGTAATGCCCTTCCTTGTTTTGTGACTTGGTTTTTATTTTTTTTTTCTCTTTCCTGGAGTACTATGGAAAGTTGATTTTATTTCTTTCTTTAATATTTGATAGAATTTGTCAATGACAGTATTTGGATGTAAACTTTCTTTGTGAGAATATTTTCAGTTATTCACTTAAAAAGTAGATATAGGGCTACTCAAATATTATTGTTTCATAATATGTCAGTTTTGGTAATTTATTTTGTCAAAGAATTGTGTAAGTGATCAAATTCTGGGAATAAAATTGTTCAGAATAATGCCATAATATTTTAATGTCCATAGCAACATAATTTTTTTTAATGCTGCGTATGGCAGTGCACACCTGTAATCCTAGCTACTTGAGAAGCTGAGGCAGGAAGTGGACAATTTAATGAGACCTTGTCTCAAAAGTCAGGGCTGAGGATATGAGCCAGTGTTGAGTGCATAGTGGGAGGCCTTGGATTCAATCTCCTGTACTACACTGTTCCCCACCCCTAGCCTGCATTCGCCTCGTGGAGCATATTTATGTAGTGTTGATTATATATCTTGCGTTTTACAAATATTAACTCTATTTTTTCACTTTCTGCAGTATTTGTGAGGTAGATACTAATATTATAGGTAAAGGTACCAATGTTAAACTAAAGGAGTATTATGTGCCTTTATCATGGAGCTGTTATAGAAAAGGTTTAGATTGGAAACTTGATAGTCTGGATCCAGACTTATTTTCTTAACTACTGTTTATGCTGCCTCTCTTAAATGACAAAGATACTACTCCTGTTTTTATGGAGGTCTCTTTGGAAACCATCCTTGTTCCTTTGTACCTTTGAGAAGGGAATATTTGTTTGTTATATTCCTGATTAGTACTTGGAATTTCCCCCCATAATTACATTTGATGACTAGACATAGTTGAAGTATTATTGTTAATACTTTTCTTCAATCATATAATATGTTGAAGAACTTCTGAAGCTCCCCTGGGAAGTTCACCATAATTTATACGGTGAAATATTGTCTTTATGAGAAACTGAGAATTTATTTTCAATTCACTTGCCTGAAAGGTTAGATTTTAGTTATATGGAAATTGTATTTAACTTCTTGGAACCTCTGAAATTACAAATTTACTCAGATGTTTATATAGCATATTGTTCAAAAGGCAAACAGGATTAATTTGTGCATAGATTTTTATTTTGTTTTATTTTGATTACTTTATTAATTAATGTTTTTCAGGGTTATTCAAATACTCAGAAGAATATTCTTCAGGTGGATCAGAACTGTGTTCGTAATTCTTACGATGTCTTCTCTTTGCTACGGTAAGAAACTTAAGAGTCTTCCTGAAGTCTAAAGAATCTTTCTCATTTTGAATTTGTGACAGTTCAATATAAAAGAATGTATAGAATCTTCAGAAGCTGTTACTTGGGCTTAGCATTTTTAAGTGAAAGCCTCAAAAATTTTGTAGCTACAATGATTTATCGCTTTCACAAAATTTTTGGAAAACACTTCTTTTTTCTGGACAGTAGAGAGAGCAGTTGGATGCCAATGATCTTGAAACAGGGACATAAGCTATTTGTTGGTCTTCAGTACTCTAAAGAGCAGTAACCTGAGGTACAGAATTTAAACTTATCAACCATAGCCAGAAGAGCTTTCCAACAACCCTGAACATAGAGTTTTGACCTGTTATTCATCTTAAAAGATTTTTGGCAAGCCAAAGGAGCTTTGTATGAATTTAATACTCTGATGTTTATATGCCTCATCTCTATATTTTTATATCTGGGCTTAATTTTGAAAGATTTTAAAATTTGGCTTTAATTTTAAATGAGGTAGATTCTCAAGGCCATTTTCCCAAGGGGCAAGCTACCAAAATAAATGCATTTCAAAGTAAAGTCAACAGTGACACTCAGCCTTTGTTCATCCTACTCAGACAAATTGCTCAATGCAATTTGTTGCTGGCAGTATTTTTCTAATCTTTGTGTAACACATTGTAAATTTCAGACCATTAGATATCCTCTTATGTCAGAGGATGAGTCCAAAAGAATAATTGAAGAAATGGTTATTTTATTTATTTTTCTAAAATTTTACACAGAAAATTTAAAATCAAAACGATACATAATATTGTAGCATGACAATCATGATGACATTTTTGTGAAATACTTAAATTTTCATTTTGACATAGTATAGCTCTTAATCAGTCTGCTCTAATATATAAGAAGCTTTTACCTAACTTGTTGACTTTTAATGAGATGTCATTGAAGAAATTTTGTGACATTGGCTGGACTGTTTAATGTCTGGACATCTCTAAGTATAGTGGCGCATATATAGCATATGCGTCATATAAGTTATTGTTGTTATTACTGACTAGTGACCTCATGTTGGCTTGACATGAACCTCTTGTCACAATTAATTGGAGCACAAAAGAAAGGCAAATGTCTGAATCTGAAAGAAAAAGTCTATACCATAAACAATCCTAGTTTTACATTTTAGAAGATGGTACATGTGGAAGGCATGAATACATTTAATACAGCATAAGATTAACAAGGAATTGTCATACCCATCTGAAAAACCTTTGTTTCTTAATTTGGTTATGTACAAGAGCATCTTTTGTGAGAAATCCTTATTATGTTATTTCTGGAAAACTTAACCTTTGCTGATGACCAATTTACTAGGGGTGTCTCCTGTAAGGCTATGGAGATGATTGGGGCTTCCCATTAATGAATAAGGACTGGATAATTATCCAGGCAGCTGCTTCCTTATTCATCAATTATAGTCCTGTCCAATAGTCTCTCCACACCCCACGGGATTTTTGTTTAATTATCTTAATAATTTTTTGATGACTTATAAAAAACCCAGTCACAACATTGAACATGTTTAGAAATGGTTATTTTATAAACATTATAAAATTGGCTTTTGTGAAAATTGAATTGTAGTATACATGATGATACAGAGTTTGAGCACATGGATTGTGTAAATTGCTCTTAAGGAACAATGATTTTGACTAAAGTGATTGCATATGTTTTGATGATTTTTTTTTTTTTTGAGGCAGTGGGCACTGAACCCAAGGAGGCTTTTGTACTGAGCTACATCCCCACTTCCCTTTCTCTCACGGCCCCTCTTCCCCCTGCCTAAAATTTTGAGACAAGGTCTTACCAAGTTTTGAGTTGCCCAGCCTCAGCTTCAGTTTATGATTCTTGTGCCTCAGCCTCCTAGAGTAGTGGAATTAGGGCATGTGCCATCTCAGCCAGCTTATCTGATGACTTCTGATTCGTATCTGAGAAGTAGTTTCACCTTGACTGCTTAGGATTATAACAGAACAGACATAATCTAGTATCTAGAGGGTAGAGATAGAAAGTAGGAGTTGTCAAAATATGTATATATTTTTGAGCCTGTTCAGCTTGGGATATAGAGAACAGGAGATGAAGAACGACTATTGGATCTTGTGAAGCACCGTGCTATAACAGAATGCTTTGATTAACTTGATCCAGACCCTGACCCTGACCCTGCCTTTACTCATCCCTGATTTATCCAAATGCATTCAACTTGTCTCATTTTTCTTAAAAGATGGAAGCAATGATTTGCAAATTTGTATAAGCATTTTCACAGTTATTATTTTATTCTCTTAGATTCTTGTATTCTTACAGTCTCTGTCTAAAGCATAGAAATTGAGATAAAATGTGTTGAATGGCCTGTCTGAGGGCGAACAGCAAGTAAGAACTAGACTGGAGACTGTTGGGAAGGTTTTCATGTTTTGTAGATCCTTTTCATAGGCTCATCGTCCTTGACTGATGGTTGTAAGATGCACATAGCATAATGACTAAGTAAATTTTTCTGAAAAGCAGTGTCCTCCATAAATGCAAACTCATCAGGATTTGATAGTTACTGAATTATTTAGCATTGATGATCTTGAATGTTTGGTTCTTAGGGGTTTAATTTTTAAAGTATTTTCTAGATTCCTTGTAGGAAGTTAGTAGTTTAGATTACTTTGTTAACAGTGGTTTCCTTACCACCACTGTGTTATTCATTTGTAGCTACTAACACAGGTATACTGTCTGAACCAAATCAAGTGTCTCTGTATGAACCATGTTACCCAAGCCTGGTAGTTACTCTAGAACTAGAAATTTTAAATTTTACTTTTGGAAGTTAGTAAGTAAAATGTCCCTTTCTCTGCTAATTCCCTCAGACATCAGAAACTAGTACCCATCACCTGTTCCTCTTTTCCCATAGTTTATGCCATGACAAATGTGACATTCTTGCTGGGAAACTTGTATGCCTGTGACATTAAACTGTTGTCCATTGTTTGCTCTCTAATGTTTTTCCTGGTGGTAGTCACTTAAAAAAAAAAAAAAAAAAAAAATATATATATATATATATATATATATATATATTTCCCCCCCCAGGGGAAAGGGATTAAAAAAGAATTCAGGTGTTTTAGATACATGTACCAACTCACCACAAGGAATGTGATCACCCATGTACTGTATACATTTACTAATAAAAAATAAAAAGTAAAGGAAAAGTATATACATTTTCTTTTCGGATACTTTCTTGGTTTATAAAAATATTGACACTTGATCTACAATTGTATGTGAAGAGTCTGAATTTAGTACAGTTAGAAACAAACGAGCTCCTTTCCCTCCATCTAACTCTAAAGCGCACCCAACAGGTATTCCTGCTTCCATTGTCCTAAGGGAGGTAGAAAATGAAATACCAGAAGCTTAGGAGATGCTAGACCCTACGCAAGAGCACAGGCACAAAAGCACTGGTGCCATGGGAGATATGGTGGGAGGTGCCTAGAACAGGGGTGTCTGGCCTTTAAATTCTGAAAGCCTGAGTTAACAGCCCCCCTTTCCTGTTGCTGCCACTACCTTTGACCTGTGTGCAGTGCTTTTCTGTCACTCGGGTACCTTTCTTTATCTGTGTTATACCTTTGTTGTCATGGACTAGCCCTGAGCACAACTTTCTGTGATCTTCAGTAAACGTAGCTACTTCTGGGTTTACGCGTGACATTTCTTTTGTTTTTGTACACAAGAACCTGAACTATTATTGGCCCATTCAACTGTAACAAACTCTTTAAAACGACTTAACTCTAAAATTCTCAGTGCTGGCTGAAGTCATGATGAGCACTTCAGTCTCCTGATTCTGTGTTTTGAGAGTATTTTCTGGTTAATAACTTTTACTTTATGGTGTACCACCCTGTACTTTCTGTGTGTTACAGAAAAATAGGAAATCTTGATGAAACAAGGACTTTGGAGCACTTAAAACTAGGATATTGAAGTCCTTTGTGTGGACATGTTCTGCTCTTTTGCAGGGAAACAATTACCTGAGATTTCACTTTTTTCATTTTTTTTTTTAAGGTTCTATACATGTTTTTTTAAATTTTAGTTTATTAATACATGGGTGATACATAATGTTTACATTCCCTGTGGGAATTTGGTGCATGTACATAACCTGCATTGATTCCTCTTTTCACCCCCTTCCTCCCTCCAGTGCGTCTCATTTCAGTGTTGCCGAAGTATTAGTAGCTCTTTGCAAATTCATGTTTAGTGTGTGTGATGGTAGTTTCTTCTTAACCCTTGGAAAATCCTGGATTAAAGATTTGTTTTCAGGTAGACAGACATTGAATTAAGAGCCATTTTTATTCATTGTTATATTTGATACTTTAGGATGTTCACCACAAGGTGTCAATGTTGTTCTTTAACTGGCGTTCGAAATTTCATTTATTTTACAATTTAGGGGTGAGAGAAGCAGGAGGCTTCAGGGAGTATCACACAGGTGATAAAGTACAACAAATAAACATTTACTTGTAGATGTTGATTTTAAAAATCTCTTATTATCCCTTCTAATTTGAGGAATGTAGGCTTGTTAGATACATTTTCCACTTGTCTCCTCCTCCCTTTTTAAACCTTGGTGATAGAGAATTATAATTGTTAAAAGATTACAGAGAGAGGAGGAGCAGCATTGTCAGGTTTGCAGTCTAGACTTCTGTGGAAGCCAGGGTTATCTCTAATTTTATCTGTTCTCTGAGATTGAAAGATTATTTTTAGTGTTAAAGAATTTATTTTTCTTGTTTGTTTTTCCTTTCAGACTTGATAGAAGAGATAGCATATTATAATGAGACAAATGATATTCTTTATGGTTTTCTTCCATCCTAGTTAATATTTTTTTTGTTTTTGTATTCTCCTTTTGAAATGTCTTGCTTTTGCCAGTTTAGGAAGTGGGAATCTGGTAGAAAAATCAAGGGCTTTGGTTCTTTCCTGGGTTCTAATCCTATAGCTGCCATATATAGGTAGACTAGATATAGGACTTTGGGCAAGTTACT